TGAAAGATTCGAAAAAATCCACCAGAGGCAGTGCCGGTAGGACGATTTGATTTGATTTCCGACGACAGATTATTTGATTTCCCTTTCGACGGTAATGTTCAGCATACTTTCTTAAAGTAGAATTATCTGAAAATAATGTACTTGGAGCTAAATTAACACGTGCAAAAGTTCAAGACCATCTTGTCCGGGACTTAAAACGACGGCTTGCACGCCGTCGCCTGCCTGCCTGGTTCAGGTAATAAAAATGTACTGATAGAAATGTTAGTTGTCGTTGACAGTTTGTAATCTCATTGCGATAAGAAATTATTTTTATTAGTGAACTCTGAGATATAATTAATTATTGATTGAGCTTCTTCAGTGTCAGTAACACATTATTACTATTTATTCCAGTACGCAAATAAACAGTAGCAACAGAACAGACAAGCTTTGAACGTTTACGCATGAGAGAGTTTAAATCCTCTTCAACATGCCTCTGCTTTCGTTGACGATCTTTCGATATTTATAAAAAAAAGGTACAACTAATTAAACCAAGATATTTGATAATTTAAATACAAAAATAACAAAATTATAACTTTATGTTTATTAAAATTTAATGCGCTTATAAATTTACATCTCGAGCATAACCTCATATGATGAATAATAACGAACCTTTGATGTTGTCGCCGAAAACTAGTTTGGATTTTCTATTGTTGGACCATTTGTATCTATAACAGGTAAATCTGTTCGGCGCCATAAATAAATCCACTTCAAACATTGTTTAGTAGGCATAATAATTTAGTTTAATTAATAATATTTTCTATTTACTTTATTTATCAATTAATTTTTAGTGATAAAAGTTACTGGCCATAGGAAAATCAAATCATTTGCACCTTCTACCGGTATTGCTCCTGGTGGATATTTTTTTTTTGAAACTTGAGAAAAAACAAAAGTTCATTAAACCCTAACATAGATTCCTTTCGACTCGTACAACTTCGGCGGAGCGTGACAATGATTCAGCTGGGTCTTAACTATGTAGCCCTCCGACGAGATGTGAACGCGCGCCTTGCACTTTCCGGTGCAACAAGTCCAGTACTGCGAATGTTTGGATTGGATCGGTTGTTGGTAGAAGATGTAGCCGTTGACGAGCAGCCGCCTGCCCTTCTGCATTTGTATGAACTTATAATAATCTGTAAAACAAACATTCTTATGAATACATATTATTGAGAAACAAACACTTATTGTGAACATACAGATAACGTGTGTACTATACACAATTTTAAATTTCACATTAACGTTAAAAATACGTACTTTAATTTTTTAGTAATAGACAACATTTTACAACCAAACGATTAAGTACTCTGTAGTTAAGCGTATTGTGTGTCATATTAAAGTTAAGTTGCCCATAAACAATCCTTTATGCCCGTCAGCGGAGGGTGTTAGGTTTGTCAATCTACAATACTTTAATATTTCTAGATGTTGATAATATTTCCAGATATTGCGTGCATAGAATTTTCCCATGTTCATAATGTACAAAAAGATCTTTCTTCAATTAACTGAACATATTATTATTTACGACCTCTTTTTGCTGCTCTATTCAACTTAAACTTTAAAGTATATCCATTGAGAATCCCTTAGTTTTAATATGAGGGATGGGCCCTTGCGACTGAAGTTTTTGTCTTGCATTGGAGTCACATCGATAGCCATATTTAAAATTACTGAAGACGACACTATGGCTCTTCAAGACATAGCCTAATTCTTTAATCCGCTTTCATAAATCCAGCAACGGTTAAACGTTGCGTTTGACTACTGCACAGACGTAATTTTTGAGTCTGTCAAGATAATCAAGTACCAGATACTTTATCCATTGAACAATCTCTAATACGAAAGTCATTAACTTGCCGCTTTGAAAATGTTCGATTTTCAAAAAAAAAACATGGGAAAGTTCATAGTTTGGGTTCAATTTTCAAAAATTGAATTTTTAATATTCTCTCCCTCCATATTAACTTTTCATTATTTTATTTTAGACTTGTATTCGCTAAAACTGTAATTTTGATATAAAAAGTGATCTTCCCAAAATAATAAGAAAATTGTTTTAAGGTTTCAAATAAAAAAAAATATAGTAAAATTAATTCAATTAAACATCTTCAATATAATAGACTTCACATCAAACTTTCAAATTGCTCCAGAACAAACAGACCACCGTCGACCGGTGACCAGGACACGCTTGACCATTCTCGGGCGGACAAGTCAGTATGATTTGTGTTTAGGAAATCATATGTGAATCTTCTAAGTTATTTTCTAAGAGTTTTACAAAATAATTTAAAACGTTACACCTCCTGTCACTATTTTATTTACAAACTCCCTTTTATAACATACAGATACACAAAATTACAATATATATATTTAAATTTTCACATATACACCATTGAATTCATATAAATTCGGTGGTTCATGATTGTGCGCCAATTCACTCCTGACTATTTCAGCGTCGCGTGAAACGTGGACGCGCGCTCTGCATTTGCAGCTGCAGCAATTCCAATATTGGAAATTTTTGGAAGCACAATTACGCCGATAGAAAATAAACCCGTTCAACAACAGCCTGGTCCCTTTGTCCGTTCGGATAAGTTTGTAACCTGAAATGGACTTTTTTATAATAACGACGTGATCGATGAGTCGGCCGGCACAGACGAAATGTCCAACCGAAACAAAAACAAAACATAAATTTAAACGAGAACATTTTTTTGACAGTCGGTTGTTTTTAATCGGCCGATGATTTTATTAAATTTCGATATTTACCAACGCTTAGATAGTGTTAAAATTTCATAGGACGCCAGTGAAGCCAGAACTAATGAATGTGGAGCGTCAAAGAAACTAGATATCATGATCCATGCTTCCATTCGGCGCCTTATCCATTGGTTATCTGCAGATTGACCAAGCAACTAAGTTGACGAACTTGCATCATTAGCCCAAAGCGAGAACTGTGCGGCAGACAACGACACACAAATAATATATTCCTATGGGAATAAACAACGTTTGTATATGAAGAAATACAATCTTATCGTAGTACATTTAGTAATTATATTCCTGCAAGAAGGAAATTTTTGATGCGCCGGCACTTAGGTACGTCTGTCTACACGTAGTACGTTTTCTGTAAATTTCCATAAATACTCACGAAATGTAACCAAAATAATCGCGATACGTTCAAGTAAAAACTCTTCACTGGTAAGAGCTTGATCAGTTATTTGTTTTATTGAAGAGAAAAATAACATGTTTTTTCATTAAATGTAATACTGTAATTTTAGCTCCGTAGTTAACATTTTGGTACGAATTTAATTAACGTACGCGGTATAATTAGCTCTGCCCGCGAGTCCGTAAGCATGAAGTTCATTTTTGAATGTCATGAAACTTCCCGTGAGCCGGTTTTAAATAAAAACTATGATTGCACCTAGGCACGTTCACGTGACCGATGAACCCAATCAAAATTCGTTTCATGATTTTAAAGATCACCGTGTTCAAAGACATACTTAATTTCTATAAGTAGCCTTGTGGTATTCTGCCACACTCCCTACATTACTAGCAATCAGTCTATGGTAAATATTTACAATTTACAAAAACGGCGATTTCAAAGTTACGTAAAGTTTAATTTTATAACAGTTTACGTCATAAATGTGGTCAGTTTATAAAATTACTTTATAATATGAGCGGTATTGTAATTAAACGTTTTTATTTTAAGTTCATATTAAAAGTTTCAATTAATATTAAAAGAAAGAACATTAAAGCTATGTATATAACTACATAGCAACACAAAATACACATTTCTTATACGACAGCATAAATGGAAATATTGAGAAAATCTCATGAGAATCTTTTCCTAATTCCAGTTTCAAATGTTTATGTGCAAATTCCCCAAGGTGTAGAGGCTGGGCGGCGGGTGGTGGTGCGTCAGGTCGCCCTTTCCGATTCTTCCGTCGAAGGTGACGTGGACGCGCGCCTTGCAGCCGTTCTTGCGGCACCGCCAGTACTCCATGGACCTGGATGATTTCTCACGATAAAACACGTAACCGTCCAACAGCAGCCTCCTGCCTTTTTCCATTTCTATAAACCTCGCTGCGAACACAAAATACGAAAGTCACGCTGAGATTTTCGATTAATTCAAATTTCAAATACATTGCGCGCGAGATTGGTGAAATCACTTGGAGTAATAAAAATAAGATGAAAAAGTAGTAAAGGAACATGTTTTGACATCGAAAAGTTGTTGATATTTTATGTTTTTCAGCATTTCACTGCCGATTTCCTGTCCCAATTTTTGTACTCATTTTGTAATCCTTTAAGTCAATTTATTAAAGGACTAATTACAATAAGCACGTGAACTCAACAGAAAAGACCTTCATAGCTGTTATACCCCGTCACAATGTTCCAGTTTGATGAGCTGACACTTACAACTCTTCATGCTGGCCCAGGATGAAAACGTGCAATAATGATGATCGACATCTACCAGGTAAATAAATAAAAATACAACTGCAAAACAAACTGAACAAAAAAAAAATTGAAATATTTCAAATACGGAAAGGCATTTCCAAAATAAACTCATGAAGTTCTTTGGGACATCCGGTTGGAACGAAGTTGTTTTAGCTCATAAGTAAAAAAAAAGTACTAAACAGCGAATCTGTTTTATTTATTAAAAACTGTTAAGTTCGTCAGTTTGCAAAATTGTGTAATTATTATGAAATCTATAATAGGTGCCACTTTTACGTAATTGTATAAGTATTTATTTATCGAAAGTTTAAAATTGAATACGTTTCAAAACTGAAACAATCCAAGAGTTTAATTTAATATTTTAGGAGAAAAAAGCGCTATATACAAGCACAATGAAATAAATTAACAACATTTGAAAGTAATGAAACGAAAAATACAAGAAAAATAATGAAGGAGTAGTATTAAGGTGCTAAAATTAAAATTATAATTAATATTTCATTTTAAATTACCATAAAAAGAATGCAATATCAAAAAAATTCAACATTATGCGGTGCTTCCAGGCGGTCACCGATCCTAGTACTGACCGCGCCTGACGCTGCTCAACTTCGGTGATCGAACGAGAACCGGTGTATTCAGCGTGGTATGGACGTAGAACACAAATATATAAAAGTCAAGACTACGAGAAGCGTTTGAAACAGCGGTCAGCATTTTTCGTTGCGGTTACACTTTTTTTCGTGTAGCTCCCATTAGCCCGGCGCCCGAGTGCAACGTACAATAGGGAACTTCGTTCCTAAAAGATGTAATTTTTAATCTTCTAAGATGCTCTACGAAGTGTCCACGAATGAGATTTTTCTTTATAAACTCAAACTTATTTCCAGAAGGGTGGGCAGAATGCACAATTCTCACCATAATTCGATCTTTGCCTATCTCTCTTGCTTCATTGGCATCCATAAATCATTTAATACAAGTTCGTCGTTTTCGAGTGTTACAAATTTGGCCCTTTTTTAATACGCGTCCCTTGCCGATCCGTTCGTTGCACACATTCGCCGTTTGAATTAAAGTAGACTGACAAAATAAATTAACAAAAATGTATTTTGTCAGTTTATTCACATTCATCCTTTCAAGAAAGTCAAACCACCGCAACGTACCCTTCCCTTACCTATTCTAGCCAGAACATCTTATTTCAAACTACACTGTTCTCCTACATCAATATTTGTAAATCTATCTTTCAAAAGCACACCACACATACTATGCAGGGATTGCACCTCCACCGCATTGACTCTACTTTCATATTTCTTCTGCCACACTCGATTTTCACTACCGTACATAAACGTAGGTATATGTGGACCGGAAATATATTATGGATAGATATAATTTATTTTTAATAGAATACACCTCAATAAAAATATGTTTTGAGATTGCAAGTAGAGTCATAATGAAATAAAAGTACTAAATAGATGTCAAAATCAGAGCATTTATAAACCTTAATATTATATACAATATTTAGCAATTTAGAGTTGGCTCTTAATGTCGACGCGTTGAATCAAATACGAAAACACTCCCAGGAAACCAATCTGATTCGTAAAATCAAATTAGCTGTGTGCACAATTGACGGCATACATTCTGTTTTTGAGCGAACACAAAAATTCGATGGAACTTGGGTATCATTCAAATACAAATCATTATTTTACAACGTATTTATTATTATAAAATTTACTGCTTTTTTTTAAGACACTGTCTTTTGTTATCCGATTGTATTGTTACTAACTAAAAATGGCTATGTGTATAACAAAATAATATGAAAAGCGATCTAAAAAGCACGAAAAATAAAATAATCACAAACATCGAAATCATACATAATATAAAGTTTATGATGATATACAAAAACTGTCTAATACAAGCATTAACGTAAGAAATTTAATCCACTTAATTCTCATTTAAAATATTTGTCTTTATAGTATTAATAACATTATTCGGTAACCTACTCCACAGTCTGATTTTATCTCGGTCCGTCCCACAGAGACCCCCGCGTCTTGCATATGAAAAATAGGAATATGCTCATAGGAATATAATATAAAACCGAACGAGAAAAAAGATAAACGTCATTCTTATAATTTTTTTAAGTCAATGTTAAGACAAAATTCAATTTATCGAGTGTCAGTTACAACTACAGCTTCGTGGAAGTTAATACTTTATTATAGTTTAATTTAAACACAACAATGAAAAAAAATAAATAACCAATGATAACAAATCCATCTTTTGTTTTCGTATGTTTTCGAATGCAATTTGAACAATTTTTTAGAACTCAAATCGCAATTTTTACTTTATCAACCTGACAACTTGCTCTTCATATATTCACTGTGGTCTGTCTGTTCTTTGTTTTAAAATCACAGCTTGAGACACATATTTTAGTATCTCACGGCCCGTCTTTAATACATACTGTAGTTTCAAGCAATTCCAAACTAACCAATCAGTGTGATGTATCATTTTGAAAACAATATTGGGACTTCAAGCGGCACGTGAAAAGTTTCGGAGCTTTCTTTAGGGTGTTTCCAATACAAGATGCTTATGTACATACATCGATATTTATAATGAATGTACCGGCATCGCCTACATGTACTTATTGGTGGAAGAGAATTTCCGGTTGAAAATATAAACCTGTAAGAAAATAAATGGCTTCTGCTACCTAACTGATATTTTAATAAATATGAAATCCTCTGTGCTGATTAAACCTTACGTTAAGATCAGCATTAGGTAATACTATAAAATGTGTATTAAAAAACATAAAATACATAAAAATTGTTGTTAGCTAATCTTATTATATACACATTTTCTTCGTGTAAAAAAAAATAACTTATAATACATACTTAGAACTTATTTTACAATTAAAAATGTCATGCTGTTTCATTATCTTTAGGATTGTATGTGTACTTTAATCACACTACGCGTTTTTTAATATTAAAAAACGCGTAGTGTGATTAACCCAACTTTATACTTTAATCAGTTTATACATCAGAATAAACAGTATCTAGAAATTATTAACATAATAAGAAAAATGATTTAGAATAATACTGTAAGGAAATTTCGCTCGACAAATTTCATAATGAATGAGATGAAATAAAGCGTATTTATAATTAAGGTATTGTATACGTTTTGAGTTCAATATTTATAGTAAATGCCGTTGCTTATAGTGTACCTAGCGGGCGGATGCAAGTGTTGTAGGTAAGATTTTATCATTACGCCGTCCTCGGTGAGGGTGAGCAGCGCTTTGCAGGGCGAGCCGCGGGTGCAGCGCCAGCCCTCCGTGCCGGGGCACTTTCGGATCAACGAAAAAGTGTAGCCGTTAACTATCAGCAAGAGCTTACCGCTCGGCGACCTCGCCCACTCCACAACTGCAACAAGGCGACGGTGCGAATTATTTGTTTGCAGGATTGGTGAATATTCTTTGTGCAGGTAATTATAGTACTATATATATATATCTATATATATATATATATATATATATATATATATATATATATATATATATATATATATATATATATATATATATATATGTATGTATGTGTATATATATATATATGTATGTATGTATGTATGTATATATACCATAAGGGTTCCGAACAAATTTAATTACTTTTTTTTATTTTCGTAATTCATTGCAACAATACAGCAAAAGTGCTTCGATTGGTTATAACTATGGAACGGGACATTGAATAAAAATCCGCAACTGTATCACAAAAAATGAAATAAATCACTACTTGTTTTGTACGTTGCATGAAGTAACCGTACGAAATAAGCGGTGACGATAATGGTGACTCGAGTCAGAAAAAAAAAACGCTGCTCACGCGCTTAAATGGCTTACGCCGGGTAAATCATAAGAGACGTATGTGTTTTTATCGGTGTATAATTCAATTAAAAATCACTTTTCCTTGACCTTTACTTGAAAACGGGACAATTCAGCGTCCCGAAGCCTTTCTCGGGGACACCGGGACGGAGTGCCGGAAAAAAGGACAGTCCCGTTTATTAGTTAATATTCATGAGTCTTTAATATTTAGCATCGTTAACTAACCTAGTGCCACTCTATTACAGAAAGGGTTAGCAGAGATCACGAGCACAAGAGCAAGATAACGCGCTAGTTTGAAAAACGATTTGAATGCAGTTTGTCTTTATCGTCCATTCAGGAAAGGTATTCTGCAATTGTTACAAGAAAACTAAGTTAAATAAAAAGTAATTAAGATGACCCGTTTTATTTATGTAGTGAACCCCGATTAAGGAAAAAAGAAACCTATATTTTACACGTGCACAGTTTTATATTTTGTTTAACGTAGTCCAATATTCGAATCATAAAAGCAAAAAAAAAAAAAAATGGTTAATATATTATTTTCTTTTACGACAAAATTGTTTTATTTTCTGAAATTTAAAAGCATTCTTTAATAGACAATATCAAAAAATCATCACCATCATTTTACATCTTTATTATTAATACATACTTTCGTAAATTGAACAAAATAAAAAAAAAATATTATCCTGATTAAAACTAGAAAATATTTAATGTGCTAATTTTCCATGAAAATGAAATTTAGATTAAATAACAGATGGGTGTAAAAATCACGCTGTCTTTACGTAAATAAAAATATATACAATATAAAGACGCTCGCGTCTGAAACAGAATTATAAATGTCACTCCCACTTAGACGTGAAATACGGGGAAGAGTAAGACGAGATTATGGAAAAAAATTGCTTGGAATACTTTTATAACAAACGCACTATGAAATTTATTAATGAAATGTATACGAATGAGTACTAGTAGCGCCATCTCTTGATCGTGACCGTAACTAAATTCAGCAACGAGTTCAATTTTTTTTATCGTTAATACTAGATAAATTCAATATTGGCGGACTGTTCTCGATCATAGGAATCTCATTATTAAATTACTAACAAATATACATTACCTTTACTAATAAATAAAAACAATACGAAGTAAAGTGCTGTTTTTATTTATCTACACTGACCAAATTCATCAAACAATAGTCTGGAACTTTATTCATATGCGAAGGTGGTAGATTCTTTCTGTTCGGTGATCATCACATGTTTCAATTTGTTGATATGCCTGAACGGCCTCGTTAACAACTCATGGATAAGTACTAGTAGCGTCATCTATTGACGATTGCCGACATTAATGGTACTGTAAACGTGCGACAAGGGGCGCGCATTTACTTATTATAAATATTATATCCGTAATTCTTCTTATAATTTATAATGGACTGTTACATCTTAACAACAATATATTTGACTTATAACTCGAAACGGATAAGAATAGCCAATGAGGTTTGTTCTCACATATATGAATTCGCTTCGCAAAATTATTTATCTATTTAACAACTTGGGTTGTAAAATTATAAATTCAAAACAACGGTAAAAATCATAACCTAAAACTCAACAGAGCCGGTTGCCCGGTACACACTATTGACATTCCAACACGTCCACGTGTCACGCTCAAGGTCACTGCTACGTTAAGTAATCGTTATCGTTTCCCGCGCTACGCAACGGTAAATAGCGTCACGCGCCGTCTCTCTCGCACTCTCTGCTAACAACACCACAGAAATAGTTGCCTCTCTTTCAATCGTGTAGAGGGAAGCCGGCGGTTA